ATTCCTGCTTGTGGCAAGGGGTCAGGCTAGATGATCTGTTCTGGCCCTAGCTATTATGAAACTATGAAGTCCCCGCATAACTGAAAGGTGTGATAACAGGTAAAAAAATAAGTGTTGATAACCAGTTTTAATCCATTTATTTTGGAATATATTGATTTTGGAAAACATCAAATGTTTTATCAAAATATAATGAGGTACCTAAGTCAAATACTTACATCTTCCCAGTCCATATTAAACTAGGATGCAAGTAATATAAACACAATTAATATGAAAAGTGTTTTTAATATCAAAATAAAATGTAAATTATTTGCCCTGCTACTCAAATTATGGAAATTAGGGTAGGCCAAATAGAGTAAGAGAATCATTTTTTTATTGAAATAGAGAAGGAAAAAAAGGCAGAAAACTCATAGAGAAGATGGTGAGGCATGGAACCCAAGTAAAAAATACATCATGGGCTAGGGTAGGGGGAAGAGTGATAGTTGTTGAGAGATCTGTTACAGGGAAACTCATGAGCTTCTGGAATGTAAATATTTAATAGTAAGATGCTAGTAAATATGAAGGCTTAATAACAAAAGGTTTAAGATCCCCTAAGTACAAAATCTCAAAATGAATATCACTGTGGAACTTCTGTGGCATCTCCACAATATTTTTTCCTCTCTGGAAAAGGAGGAGTTCTAATAACTTATTTAATTAAGCCACAAAAATTACCAGTCCAATTCAAAAGGAAATGACAACTCAGAGATTGTGAACTGTATGCAGCCATCTCACCTCATTACTATTTTTGTCATGAAAATAAATTAATTTTGTACATTTTCTGTCCTCATTACCATACTTGTCATCAGAGAGAACTATCAAAATTCTAATAATACCTGATGTACTTTGGTAATTATGGTACTATGCTCTACAACTTTGACATTTTCAATTCTGTACTTGATATGCTGGCTATTCCACTCCTCCCTGTCAGGTTAATAAGGCTGTAAATATGGAATCAGCTATTTGATGTGTACACAAAGCAGCAATTTCCCCCTTTTTCCCCTTCCAGTTTAAGCCATGGCATACAGAAAAATTAATGAAAAAATTCAGCTGAATTGCATCAATGTAAGTGCATTAGTAGGAGTGGTCATGTCTGTACACTGAAAAAATGGTATAATAAATAGTAGGTAGTGTTGGAGATCAAATTTGAGTTTACATCTAAAAAAATCTTTTTTTTTTCCTGGAAAAACATAAGTTTTGTTTAAAAAAAATCTATTAAAGCCTGCATGCCAAAATGTAGCCACATAAAAAACTTCAATTAACGGTAAAGAAGATTTATAGAATTTTAAACTTCCATGAATGGCAAAATATAATCTTTACAAGTAAAGGTACTAGGAACTGATCTCATTTCCAGCTTCACATTCCCAGGCAAAATAACAGAGGAAGTAGGAACCAATAAGTTCAACAAAATATTGTTTTAGTAGACCACTTAGATACTTCACAATCAGGGTTTACACTAGGACACAGTACAGAAATGGCTCTAGTACACTAAAAAAGTCCCCTTGAAGACCACGGAAACAGGGAATTTCTCCATGTTCATATTGCTGGACTTGTCTGCAGCCTTTGGTACAACAGAGTACAATGTACTTTTAACACAGGTAATAGTATATAGTATGCAGATCAGCACTTTGTCACTCAGATCATGCCTCTCCAGAAGACCACAAAGTGTGGTCAATAGGTAACTGTTTCTTCTTTCCAAAACACTTCCCCTGAAGTGATCATATTATTTCAATTTCTTTTCTTGATATCAGTGGGAGAGGTGGTGATATGCCATTGGCATAGCTGCCAACACTCCTTTACGTTCCAATGATGCTCCGCTATATATAGCTTTGATGACACTTCACATTTATACCTCAGTTCTCAATTAATGCAACTACAGTCACTTCTAAAACACTTCTAGAAAGTTAACTCTTGAATGAAGAGCAACTGGTTCAAACTGAATTTCAGTAAGACCAAAATACACTTATTAGAAAACAAAAATGCTTCAAAAAGTTTTCCAGAGTCATTGCTTGCACTTTCACGGGGGGGTAGACAGCCTTCTTTCACCTCCACCTTGCTAGAAAACCCTTCCTTTCTGCCCTGATGAGGATCCAGCTGCAATGATCACTTGTCACCTTCAGACTCGGTTACTGAGATTTACTGCATATAAAGATGAATGTCAAGACTGCATAGGCTCTAGCCAGTGCATAGGTGTGGCTGCATACCTTCTCCCTGGCTTGGTCAGTTACAAATACTTCTTCACACCTGTGCTCAATTTTTTTCATGGCTCTCAGTAACCTTCAATATCAGCTTCAAGCCTAATATTCAGAGCAGTTAATGGATTAAGGCCCAACTACGCCAAAGACTGAATTTCAATCCCTGAACAAGAGCTGTGTGATTTGGGGGGGGAGGGGAATATAGATCATAAAAGGAAGCATTTGAGAAATGGGAGCAAAGTATTCTTCATGCAGCAGTCTCCCAAAAGTGATGAGGTGAATCCAGAATCTGACCACCTTTAGGAACTAATATAAGTTTTCCTTTTTAAAGAAAACCTCCCACCATAAAGTGATGGTTACTGTCCCCATTTGTGGGGGACCCCCAGAACCCTGAGTTTCTCCCCCCTGGGCTTTCATGTAGCCCAAGGAACAGATGAGATTGCCTTGGGATAATTTCTTGCCTTAAGAAGCCTGTTTCATTGCCCTTCCAGCTGCTGACCCCAGGAGGCCTCCCTGTTGTGTCGTGAATGACATTTTAGGTCTCCCTTTTTGTAGAAAAGGATAGTTTGGAGTATAACTCACCTAGAAATCATTCTTTCAGCTGGAAATCAGTAGAGACAAAACAGCAAAAGTATATATTATGTAGCAAGAAGGAATAAACTAAGCAAAGTAGATCATAGACCAAAAAAAAGTATAGATGCTTATCCCCTCATCTGGCTACATCCTAGCCCTCCCAAGAGTCCTGCCAGTGTTTCCAGAATGCAGCTGTCTTGCTGATTCTGCCTACCCTGACCACTGCAGACCTTAAACCTTCAAAGCCTACGATTCAAAGATCAGGATTTTCTTGTAGCTACACTCTAAAAAGCCTCCAAAGCCACTCTTTCCCCCACCCCAACATTATTCTAATTGTTCATGAGTCACCAGAGTCCTTTAAAAAGATCTTGTCTCTGGGTACCCTGGAGCCCCTCTAGCTAAAGGGTCATTTATCTCAGTTGCCTCTCTGTTATGGAGTTATTTTCTCTCTTTTTTCAACACCATGATTAAGATCCAAAATGGTAAAATACAAACCACCATATACAAGAAACCCATGGGTCAACATACATATCTATACAGAACCAGAAATCATCCTAAACACACCAAAAAAAGATGTAATTTACAGCCAAGTTCTCCAATACCACTAAATTTGCACTGAGGAGAATACCCGCGATCGTCATCTCACAAATCTCAAAAGAGCCTTCATCCAACAAGGACATTCCTCCTACAACTAACAACCCTTTCTCCCTTGCAGGCAGACAATACTTGGGGGTGCCCACCCATAACGTTTCCTTCTGCCTGTGCCTGCGAGTGGCAACTATCTTTACGTATGCATACCTCAGTCCCTTGACTGAAACCAATAACAACTATAAATATATACGTAGACTGCATAACAATCTACACATCAATAAAAGTGACATGAATGGATGCAACATAACATGGGCTTACCAACAAGACCACATATGCCATATCAGTACAAAAACATGACACACCATGAACCCCCAAAACATAATAAGGTTCATGACAGTCATATTTAGAATACAGTTTAGTTTCAAGCCTCAAGAAATTCCTATCCCTTACCACAAAGAAAGTCTTGACCTCAAAAGGGAGATATTACAAAGACTTCATGAAATCTACTAGAGACTATTGCTATTAATTATTTAGAAGCTGCTCAGCTACTATGGCAATGGAGACCAGTATAAAATCCAAAGATAAATTAAATAGGAAGGGAAACACAGAAGAGAAAAGCCATGGAAATCATCCTTATTTATAGCTTTAAAATCTGATACTATAATTTACAAACCAATGGGAAGGTATAAGAGAAGAGTTAAACATGCTGCATGGTAGACATACCTAACATATTTAAAGTCTGGAGAGAAGAGCTGTAATCATAATAGATGCAAGGAATACGTTGGATGTATTAATTTACATTTGGTATTAGAAAATACCAAACCTTATCCCAAATCTTGGATAAATTACAGATGACCTAAAGCTGTCATAAACTCAACTGGCAACGTGGGAACTTGCAATGATCAGCTTAGATGGAAGAAATATGAAGATACGGATATGAAGTTGACAGTAGTAAAAAGGAATAGGCAGTGTTTATAAAAGGCCAAATTTTTAAAGAGTGGAAAATGCAACAACTCTTATTGTCCTTCATTGTAAATACGAATGCTGAGCACGTTAAAGAATCAGTTGTCTGAATATCAGATAGACCCTTGAAAAAGTTGAGCTTTTGTTGGGTACTGTATGGTACAAAAATATCACTATTAGACAAAGCAATCATATTTTCAAGGCATTCGCTAATTGAGCGTGCGTTATGGAGTCACAAAGCTCCTTGGGGAGTTTAGGGACAGATTGCAGATTAAAGACTTACACTTTCTCCCAGGCACAAGTACAAGAGAGATGCGGACAATTTTCCATCCAATAAAACTGGCTTCCAGAATTCCTGGACCCCAGAACCATTCAGCTGGTAATTTATATCATTAGTAACATACAACACACCAGTTCTACTGACAATCAAGCTTTGTCCCAGAGGCATAGGGAAATTCAAATGATCAAGATTAAATTCTGTTATTAGTTTAGGAATTTCAAATAATCATAAATTCTATTATATGGGCATTGATACTTTTCTCCCCCTTCATATCTACATATCAGAATTTAACATTATTATTAACCTATTCAAAGTAGATGCAGTTTTTATATTATGCCATAGAATGTTCCTCATTTACTTACCAATTTACTAATCTTTGTTGGTCTGGGGGCTGTGGGGTTTGGAGAATTCCTGAAATGCAAATAACAGTATTAGATACTGCTAAGAGGAGCTCTTGTAATGCAAAATCATTTAAACAGCTCAATAAAAAACATTCAAAGAACTGAATAAAAATTAACCTGTTATGCCTAAGTAATATCACTTTACAGAGAGGCACTGAAATCTAATTCTTTCTGAGAGATCAGAGGAAGCCTCGAGCTGTTCTTCCAGACAGTATATATCAGGAAAAAATAACAGTTTCATAAATATGTGTAGATTATTAGTGGTTGCCAAATAGATTCATTTGATTTTTTTTATGATCCAGCTGTTTTCCATTTAGCCAGAAGACAGTGATGTTTTGTTCTGCAAGGAAAACCATGGCAGACCAAATAAAATATGTTATACAGTAAGACTGGTTTTCTATTCCCTTGAGGCAGAGAGTTTATTTTACATTTTTTTCATAAAAAACCTTATTCAAATTATGAAACCCCTGTTTCTACTGCTACCCCCCCCCTTCCTCCCCCCCCCCCACACAGACTCTTGAGCTAAATAGTTGGGTCAGCAGTTATACTTCTACCTTGATTATGTGAAAACCCCTGCAGAAAGATAGAGTATGTACTAAAATATGTACTAGCATATTTTTAGTTTATGATATTTTTCAGCTTATACATTTGATTTAAAGAAAAGGGAAGGAAAGGATTGAAACAGGTCAAAATACCACTGTGACTGGATTTCCATACTTTTATGTGAAAAAGTAAAAATAGATTATATATATCTTTAATTTAATTTTAAAAATATTTAACTGTTTGCTTGGCTCTATCTTGGCTACTTCAGTATAATTTTTATTACTAATTGGTTCAGAATACTGAATACAATTGGGTGCCCCTCTCCAAATTCCTGGACCACTCTACAGCAGGGGTCAGCAAAATGCAGCCCAGGGGCCAGATGTGATCCGCCAGGCCATTTTACCCGGCCCATGGGCCCCTAAAAAAATTTAGAAAATTAATATTTATCTGCCCCTGGCTGCCTATCATGAGGCCCTCAATGGCTTATCAAAACTCAGTAAGTAGCCCTCTGCCCAAAATAATTGCCCACCCTTGCTCTTGTCCTGTCCATTTACTTCCACTTAGATATGGAGATTGTCTGATATTTGGTTGAAAAGCAGATATAAATAACTCATAGTAGACTAGGTAAACCTCTGTTTCCTTCCCCTTCCCAACTCTAGTTTTAGAAATTCCTGAGGCTGAAAGTCTGAGTGCAGATGCAGACATGCACTCAGGGTTGCTCTGAGCTACTCTGAGCTTCCTTATCATTTTATTTTATTATCATTTTATATTATTAAAATGTGCTAGAATTTGAGTGAGTGGGATGTTAATGATGGTCTAAGCCAGAGGCTGAATCAATTCAGTCTTCACAGGTTAGTCAAAGATGTGTAGATTGAAATAATAAGCAAGTGAAGAGACATTCACCTTTGATTCCAGAAATGCAGCCACATGCCAGCAGTGGCCCAGCCTAGAATCTGGGGAGTGCTAGATCACACCCTCCTGCTTGACTGGAGCAGCCAGCTTGGGCCAAAGCTAGCCCACTCACCCTGTGAGAGGAGCTTGCAGCGGGGAGGTGTAGAGCATCTTGGAATGCTGGGGCACTGTGTGTTAACTTGAATCTGGAGGGGATCTGGTACAGAAGTTCAATAAACTGACTTAACTTAAATCAGTTAAGTCTGATAGTACATCCATCCAGGTTTATCTTAAACTGGTTTTGGCCATTTTGAAAACTGTTTATGTGCACTGAACTTCTGCTGTGTTACAGATTTGAATCATTTTCCAATCACTTATACTATTTTATGTGTAATCCTGTCCTGTGATTGCTTATTGTACTGTACATATAGGATTATAAATGTAGAGATTGAGCTGTTTTACCTGGGTTCAAATACAGCTCAGTTAGTCATGACTCATTGCTGAAAAGAGCTTGGGAGAAGCTCTGCCTGAACAGAAACCTGAAATCAGTAGAGAAATAAACATTATCCTCCCTAGAACCTTATTCTCTCCAGAACGTAGTTTACCTGTTATATTGTGATTACATAGACATACATAGGGCCTATCCAAACATGCATGGATGTTTGATTCTCTGGGGACAAGTAATAGCGGTGTACTTTGTACCACTGCTACTTGTCCTCGGGTAACATCTGTGCCACACATGCTTTGGCATGTAGCAAGTTACCCTGGGTGGAGTAGGAGAGGCTGAGACCAACACTAGGATGTCCCCAGCAGCCTCACCTGAGGTCCTGGGGGCCTCCCAAGGCTGCAGCCATGGTGATTTTCCCATCAACCCACCACAGACCTGACCCCTAGGAAGAGGCAGGACTCCAAGTGAAGTTCACAACTTCCCTGCAGATGTATACATAGACTGTTTTTGCCTCCATGGTTAAATTGGGTGTGTATACACAAGATGCTAGATGCACAGTAGACTAATTCTACTGCACATTAGTGCATAATGGCAAAAGCCATACTATCACGCAGTAGAATTAGTCTATTGCTCATTAACATCAATAAAAAGGCATGTAAAGGTGCTACTGCACAGTAGTGTCTGTTACTGCATATTGAGTACATGGGCGACTGGTGCCCTCCCTGACTGGGCGGGGGGCGGGTCCCTTGGCAGGTAATTGCACTGAACAGGGGTCATTCCCCCCCACAGCCAATTTCACTCACTAAAAAGCAGCCGACCCACTTCCAGAAGTCCCACAGCCACTTCTGGAAGTGGCATGGCCACTTTTGCTGGTGGTCCCACACCCTGGCCAGCACTCACAGCAAGGGCACTGGCACTCCTGCCTGCCCCTGTGCTTGTTGCCTAAACAGGGAGTGTGGCCTGACAGGGTATGCACCAGTGCCATCAGGGGGTGTATGTGCACCCCTGTGGATCACCACTGTTGAGTTAGTACCTGTTTGTGACAGGAGGCCATCATGAAACCAGTCCCACCTGCCCAACATTGGCCTGCCCACCTGTCTAGGTCAGTCTAACATCATTGGCTTGCTACATCTTGCTGTTACATTAATTGCTGTAAAGTGCAAAAGGCTGCCCATTATGTGCCCTGATGCCTGGGGCATTATACACAGCTCCGACTACCCCTATACCTTAGATGGCATCCAAAGTTAGTAACTGCTCCGGGCCAAGGCCAGGTCAAACTCTGCCCCTTGCTGGACCTCTGGCACTCTACCTTGACACTTTGTCCTTCCCAGGTCCTCAAACACACTGCCCGCTTCTTGGCCTCATTCATACTGCCCCTCACTAAACCATTCTCAACCCACCCTACTGTGCACACACTTTGGGTCCCCCATGGGCTCTACTCTACATGGTCCTTTAGGCTTTCTGACTCGCACTCCAGCCAGTCTGAACATAGCTCTTCAGGCTGCTCTCGTGCAGACCCTACTGTATGCAGCCACTGACCTTATGCCTCACGCTGGGCTGAACTCAGCCACTAGTCCCTCTCTGAGCCACTATCTTATGTTCACACTCTTGTGGGGGTTGGCCCATATTTAGCCCTTCAGGTCACCCTTGCAACCCTACTCAGCACACCCCTGGTGCAGCCTTTCAGGCCCATCTCAACAGACCCGACTGTACACCCTTTCACACACAGCCCTTCAGGCCGCCACCATGCACCCTACTCTGTGTGGGCCTCTGTCCATACTTCTGTCCCTCACTGGGGTCTCCAGGGTCATGAACCAAAGTGGGGCTCAGGTGTCCACAGACATACCTGGCCCCTGTGCCTGTCCCTACATCTGGGTAACCCACCAAAATGTGGGTGCTGGGCCTTTAAGGCACCCCTTACTCACCTTTCACTGGGGAAGCAATTGGCTTGGCATCTCCAAAGGACCACCCTGCCATGGGTGGGCCCACCAGACTATCCTACCCCAGCAGGGTGTAGTTTTCAGTCATTCTCCAGGACCAGGAGCCTCCTGTCATCCCCTTAGCTCTTTCCATTACCTCCAGGGATGTTCTGAGCAGCAGCTCAGCCAGGTGGTGTTCTTGTAGCTGTCAGTAGCAGACTGCTGGCTCAGCCCTGAGGGCCTGAGTTAAAATGGAGGCTGCTCAGCCCCCTCCTTCAATCACAAGGCCCTCCTACAGTAACATGACTGCCTCATCAGGGCTGGCTTGCACTGCCAGCTGCTCTGCTGTCACTTGAAGCCCTTACAGTGGCAGGCACCAAATGTTTTCTGCCACACTTATTATAGGTACTAAATTTAAGGCGCTGTAGTTACAGTGCATTAATGCACATGTAGATGCACCCACTGAGATTGCCAAAATCCAACAAAGCTTACATTACAACCTCAGTCCTGTGGAACATACTTGCCTTAAAAACACCCTTGATACAACCAGCTGATAAGGAGGATGTCACCAAAATCATGTACAAAACAACATAGATACAGAAAGCAAAGACACAACTTTCCATTATGGAGTTTTACAAACCCCTGACCAAAGACCACAGAGAACTAGGAAATGTCTTTAAAAACACTACCTCCAAAGCCCAGGACAGGATTTATGATTCAAATCCTTGAGAATCCAGGCCAAGTACCTTTTGCTTATTATCCAACATCCATTAACCTGGCAACCCCATTGGTTCTGGCATCTCCCTACATTATAGAGGGTTTCTAGCTACATTGACTCTCACCAATTCCTATATGTAGGTTTGGCTGGATTCCATTTTTTAATCAATAAACTATTTTACCTCACACTCTCAGACTGACAAAAAATATTTCCATTGTTAATTATTATTATTATTTTTTATAAAGGGAATGTTAAAATAGGCTTCTGCCACAGTGCCAGGTGAACTTGTGCTGACCAGCAGCTGGAGGTGGGGGGTGGGCTGGGCTCTGTGTGTTTGTAATTGTGTGTCTGTTCCCACTCCCACCTCCACATTTTGGGCCCTGCAGGGTGCTAGCCAGCTGGGCCCTCCCTTAAGAACTTAGGTGGAAGCTGGTGAGCAGAGTGAGCCACTAACTGTACATGGCAGAGACTGCTGCAGCAGCCAGAGATGC